CTTCAGGATGTACACGTTTATAGAGGGGCAACTGATATATCGAATCATTATCTAGTTGTAGCTACAGTTAGAGTAAGAGGTAGATGGGACAAGAGGAAAATAGCAACAACAAGTAAGAGGAAGGTGAAAGTGTATAAACTAAGGGAGGAGGAAGTTCGGCTGAGATATAAGCAACTATTAGCAGAAAGGTGGGCTGGTGCAAGTATGAGTAGTAGGGGGGTTGAAGAGGGTTGGAATAGTTTTAAAAATGCACTATTAGAATGTGGGGCAGAAGTTTGTGGTTATAGGAGGGCGGGTGCAGGAGGAAAGAGGAGTGATTGGTGGAATGATGAAGTAAAGGGTGTGATAAAAAAGAAAAAGGCAGCTTAAGAGAGATTTTTACAAGCAGAAGCGTTATAATAAGAGTAGAGTATATGGAGAGTAAAAGAAAGGTGAAGAGAGTGGTGAGAGAGTGCTAAAGGAGAGCAGATGATAGAGTGGGAGACACACTGTCAAGAAATTTTAATGAAAATAAGAAAAATTTTTAGAGTGAGTTAAACAAGTTAAGAAAGCTTAGGGAACAAATGGATTTGTCAGTTAAAAACAGAGTAGGAGAGTTAGTAGATGGGGAGATGGAGGTATTGGGTAGATGACGAGAATACTTTGAGGAACTTTTAAATGCCAACGAAGAAAGGGAGGCGGTAATTTCATGCACTGGCCAGGGAGGTATACCATCTTTTAGGAGTGAAGAAGAGCAGGATGTAAGTGTGGGGGAGGTGTGTGAGGCATTATGTAGAATGAAATGCGGCAAAGCAGCTGGAACTGATGGGATCATGACAGAAATGTTAAAAGCAGGGGGGGATATAGTGTTGGAGTGGTTGGTAATTTTGTTTAATAAATGTATAAAAGAGGGGAAGGTACCCAGGGATTGGCAGAGAGCATGTATAGTTCCTTTATATAAAGGGAAGGGGGACAAAAGAGATTGTAAAAATTATAGAGGAATTAGTTTACTGAGTATACCAGGAAAAGTGTACGGTAGGGTTATTATTGAAAGAATTAGAGGTAAGACGGGATGTAGGATTGTGGATGAGTGGGTAGGGGATGTGTAGATCAGGTGTTTACATTGAAGCATTATGTAAACAGTATTAAGATAAAGGTAGGGAAGTTTTTTATTGCATTTATAGATTTAGAAAAGGCATGTGATAGTGGATAGGGGAGCAATGTGGCAGATGTTGCAAGTACAACATCTGCCACATGGAATAGGTGTTAAGTTACTAAATGCTGTAAAGAGTTTTTATGAGCACAGTGAGGCTCAGGTTAGGGTGTGTAGAAGAGAGGGAGACTACTTCCCAGTAAAAGTAGGTCTTAAACAGGAATGTGTAAGGTCACCATGGTTGTTTAATATATTTATAGATGGGGTTGTAAAAGAAATGCTAAGGTGTTCAGGAGAGGGGTGGGATTAAATTATGGGGAATCAAATACAAAATGGGAAGTGACAGTTATTTTTTGCTGATGATACTGTGCTTATGGGTGATTCTAACGAAAAATTGCAGAGGTTAGTGGACGAATTTGGGAGTGTGTGTAAAGGTAGAAAGTTGAAAGTAAATATAGAAAAGAGTAAGGTGATGAGGGTATCAAATGATTTACATAAAGAAAAATTGGATATCAAATTGGGGAGGAGGAGTATGGAAGAAGTGAATGTTTTCAGATATTTGGGAGTTGACGTATCAGCGGATGGATTTATGAAGGGTGAGGTTAATCATAGAATTGATGAGGGAAAAAAGGTGAGTGGTGCGTTGAGGTATGTGTGGAGACAAAGAACATTATCTATGGAGGCAAAAAAGGGAATGTATGAAAGTATAGTGGTACCAACACTCTTATGTGGGTGTGAAGCTTGGGTTGTAAATGCTGCAGCAAGTAGGTGGTTGGAGGCAGTGGAGATGTCCTGTCAAAGGGCAATGTGTGGTGTAAATATTATGCAGAAAATTCAGTGTGTGGAAATTAGGAGAAGGTGTGGGGTTAATAAAAGTATTAGTCAGAGGGCTGAAGAGGGGTTGTTGAGGTGGTTTGGTCATTTAGAGAGAATGGATCAGAGTAGAATGAGAATGACATGGAGAGCATATAAATGTGTAGGGGAAGGGAGGCGGGGTAGGGGTCATCCTCGAAAGGGTTGGAGGGAGGGGGTAAAGGTTTTGTGAGCGAGGGGCTTTGACTTCCAGCAAGCGTGCGTGAGTGTGTTAGATAGGAGTGAATGGAGACAAATGGTATTTGGAACCTGACGAGCTGTTGGAGTGTGAGCAGGGCAATATTTAGTGAAGGGATTCAGGGAAACCGGTTATCTTTTATAGCCGGATTTGTGTCCTGGAAATGGGAAGTACAATGCCTGCACTTTAAAGGAGGGGTTTAGGATATTGGCAGTTTGGAGGGATATGTTGTGTATCTTTATATGTATATACTTCTAAACTGTTGTATTCTGAGCACCTCTGCAAAAACAGTGATTATGTGTGAGTGAGGTGCAAATGTTGAATGATGAAAGTATTTTGTTTTTGGGGATTTTCTTTCTTTTTGGGTCACCCTACCTCGGTGGGAGACGGCCGACTTGTTGAAAAAAAATAATAATAATGATAGTGTGAATGATGGTGAAAGTGTTTTTTCCTTTTTTTGGGTCACCCTGACTCAGTGGGAGATGGCCAGCTTGTTAAAAAAAAAAAAATAATAATCTTTATTTCTTCAAGTGAACCTGGGTGTGTTGTCATGAGCTCTGCATCTCTCTGTTCCATCTGGAAATTTTCAAAAGTTTTAGTGTTTTAAAGTTATTACTTATATGCAGGCACTCCTCACTTAAGGACCAAGTTCCGTTCCTATGAGTAGGTCACTAAACAAATTTGTCAAGGAGCATACTATGCAGGTAGTGAGTTTGCCATCCATCTTTAGATATTGTTTTAATGTCACTTTTGCACCATTTATAGCATTTTTTTATATTTTTAAATATACAGTAGTGTACTGTAATAAACAGAATAGAAGAAATCACCTCTAATATATATTACAGTATATTTAGGTTTGCTTACTGGTCGGAGAGTTGGCCATAAGTCCACGAGGTCATTAAACAGGTAGGTCATTAAGTAATGAGTGTCTGTATACTGTTTTTGTGTTATGGTGGCATCTAAGGAGAAAGTGTTCCAGGAAATTAAAAGTGCTGCACCAGTGAACAGTAAAGTTATAAGTAAATGTGATAATATTATTGCTGACATGGAAAAACTTTTACTGGTGTGGATTGAAGATCAAACTAGTCACAACATGCCTTTAAGCTGAGCCATTATCCAGTCCTAGGCCTATGTGTCTTAAATTTTATGGAGACTGCCAGAGGTGCATTAGCTGCTGAAGATAAATTTGAAGCTAGCAGAGGCTGGTTTCACCTCCTGACTTCCTACAATAAATACTACTTGCCTCTCACCCTATGTTAAGGCCAAAAATATTTCAAAAGATTGAAAGATTAAAGATTCTGTTTCTTTGCAAAGGTTACAGTGAGTAATTACAATTTTGATTTGTGAAGTACAAAGAAAGCCATTATCATGCCAGGGAATTTCAGGCAAACTAATCCTAGTACATAATAACTAGTACTTAAGTGTAAACAAGATAAGAATGGTTAACTTTTCAATATATCTTTATTGTATGTTAATACTAATGCTAGGTAATCAGGGTGGAGGTTTATAAGAATAATAAGGTAAGTAATGAGTGTACTGTATATTCATTTTACTCTTTTGTTTTTTTAGGTCTAGTTCTATTGCTAACATAATATGATAGTGTAAACACATTATCAGGCATTTATATGTATTTAACAGTAAAAAAAAAAAAAGGTGATTCGGTTTATGGCGGTAGCCTGGAACTTAACCCCCCCCCCCCCTATAAGTGGGGCCCTCCTGTAGAGTGTTGAGGTATCTGTGGAAAGAAAAGTTTGCCATTAGATAAAAAAATGGGAATATAACAGAGGATAGTGCTGCTTATATTTTTATATGGGTTTAATGTTTGGTTTTTGACTACTGCAGTGAGGAGGAGGAGGAAGTTGGAGGCAGTGAAGAAGTCAGGATTGAGATCAGTGTGGAATGTAAATATTGTGCAGAGAATAAGGTATAGTGTAATTAGGAAACAGATTGGTGGTATGAGAGGTATAATTCAGAGTAAAAGAGGGTTTGTCGAGATGGTCTGGTTATTTAGAAAGGGTTAAGCAAGGTAGGATGACTATGAGGATGTATAAATATGGTGCCAATTGGAGGAGGGGTAGGGGTTGTCCCAGGAAGAGTTGGAAGGAGAGTGTAGAGGAGCTTTTAAATGGTAGAGGCTTAAACATCCAGCAGACATATGGGAACATACAAGATAAGATAATTACAATTTTGTAATTACAATTTTGATTTGCTAAGCACAAAGATAGCCACTGTCATGCTGGGGCATTTTGGGCAAACTAATCCTAATACATAGTAACTAATTAAAACTAGACAAGATAATAAGTACATAGTAACTATACTTAAAACTAGACAAGAAGTATTAAATCAGTGTGATTGGAGACAGGTGATTTTTTTAATTTGAAAATGTTGTTGGAATGTGGACAACATAATATCTATGAAGGTATCCGGGGAAAACCAGTTAGCCAGGCTTAAACCCTGTAGGTGAGAAATAGTGTTTATGCTCTGAAAGAGGGGTCTGGGTGTTGGAGTTGGGTGATCATCTGAATTGTATTTATACACTTCTGGCAATAAACAATTAAATGAGTGATGGTGATTTTTTTTTTTTTTTTGGGGGGGGGAGGGGAGGTCACTACCTTGGTGGGCAATGGTCAGCAAGATTAAAAAAAAAAATGCACAGTCTTTATATTGTGCTTTTTATGTAAAGCAGTTGAAGAAGTCATATTAAAGATACAGTAATTCAAGTTGTGTAAAATTTTGTTTAATATTGCCTATAATATTTTCATTATTAAAAATTCATCACTTGTATACTGAATATTGCATTTTCTTATTTTATGACAGGCCAGTCCAAGAGTGGCAATGGATGATAGTATAGTTAAGAGACTGATTCTCCGTATGCGCTCTGAGAAGGTCACAGAAACCTGGTTTGATGAAGTTCAGACAGCTTTGTTTTTGACATTACAGGAAGCTGAATTATTTTTACCTGCATTTAGAAGGTAACTACTAGTAATTTTGTTTACTTATAGAGAATACATAGTCTTTATTTATTGATTGCCTAAGAGTAAGTGGATGTAAATACAAGTTGTGGATAGACAGGTGCTGCCTGAAGTGGGAGGCAACACACCCTCTTGTCAACATGAACCTAGCTATGTCACACTGTGTATTCTACTCATTATGCCATGTATGGAGCCTGGAGTATGGGTGAAGAATACACAGCAGGCTATATTCAGAGTATATTGTGACCCAACCTACTTGTAAACAGGCAGGTGTTGTAGCTCTCACTGATAGAGACCTCTTGCCCAGGCAGCAGGCTGCCCAGAATTAGTACTGTCCATCCTACCAAGGTGAAATAAAAGGAAAAGGGTGTAAGTAGGTAGGAGGGGTGCAAAAGTGAATTTGTTAAAGAAAACAACTGTAAGTATACTGCTATATGTACAAGTATATCTATACTGCTATATGTATAAGTATAAATATACTGTTAACAAGTGTGAGAATTGTATATGAACTTCCCCCTCTCTATACAGTAGATGTGTTCCAGGACAGAGGCAGCTGTACTTAGCTCAATCCAGTCGCTGTTTATATATAAGAATCTTAACCCTTTCAGGGTCCAAGGCCAAAATCTGAAGTGGTGCCCCAGTGTCCAAGAAATTTTGAAAAAAAAAAAAAAAAATTATTTTTTCTTACAAAATTAGAGTATATTTTTGTGAAGGTAATAAAACAAAAAAAAAATATTCTGATCAATAGTTACCGAGATACAGTGCCGAGAAGTTGACCCAAAATGACCGGGGGGCGGCAACATCGATGATTTCCACATATGCGCATTACTTTATTTAACGTTTTTTATAGTTTTTTCTTTTTTTTTCTAATTTTTTTCTTTTCCTACTAACATTTGGGGCCTGAGAGACCAATACTGTGCATAATGTATATATATAAACTCACTGTATTGAACACAATAACCGCACTAAAGTTATTATCATATTATTGTTTATCACTTTTGTCTATTACAATAAACATGCACAAATCTTGTATGATACTAATGTTCTATCATACATTTACATATTTACAATCACTGGACATGTTTTTAGAACTGCTGGAGCTTGTGGAACTCCTTGAAACAAGGCACCATGCACAGAGGTACCTTACATTCCTTGCACATAAACCGAGTGTCTTTGCATCTTTGTTGCCGTCGTTTTGTTCGTGCACAGACAGTGCGTCTCTTCTGAGCAAATTTCTTCTTAGTTGTAGGAAGCTGTATTATGAAATGATCACCTTCCCTCCTCAAACACTTGGGTATATTCTGAGGAGTTCGAGGACCTTGTTGTATAGCAGGTGTTGTTACCTGGTACTTCATTATGAGTTGCCTGACAACAGACAAACAAAATTCACCATACGGTGGTCTGTTGCCAGTCTTCATTTGGTACATATTATATGCATTGAGCATTGAAATGTCCATGAGATGGAAGAAAAGTTTCATGTACCACTTGTAACTCTTACGAACACAGTCAACAAAGCCAATCTGCTTGTCACATTTGTCAACCAAGCGCATGTTTTGTGTATAATCAATCACGGTCGCTGGTTTTTGAATACGTTCATTAGTCATTCTATCAACTTTGCCACTGTCTTGCATTTTGTTACAGTGAATGGTTGTCAACAATGTGACATCTTGTTTGTCATGCCACCTTAATGCCATGATGTCATTGGCAGTAAACACCTGCACCTCATCACCACGAGCACCTGCGTTGAACCTGGGCATGTATTTATGATTAGAACGCACTGTACCACACACATTTGTCTTGTTCACTCGCAAGAAATCACTGAGTAAAGGGCTTGTGTACCAGTTCTTTCATTCTTTCAACACACCGGCCATATCCCACCGAGGCGGGGTGGTCCAAAAGGAAAAACGAAAGTTTCTCCTTTTACATTTAGTAATATATACAGGAGAAGAGGTTACTAGCTCCTTGCTCCCGACATTTTAGTCGCCTCTTACAACACGCATGGCTTATGGAGGAAGAATTCTGTTCCATTTCCCCATGGAGATAGGAGGAAATAAACAAGAATAAGAAACTAGAAAGAAAATAGAAGAAAACTCAAGAGGGGTGTGTATATACAGTGGACCCCCGGTTAACGAACTTTTTTCATTCCAGTAGTATGTTCAGGTGCCAGTACTGACCGAATTTTTTCCCATAAAGAATATTGTGAAGTAGATTAGTCCATTTCAGACCCCCAAACATACACGTACAAACGCACTTGCATAAATACACTTACATAATTGGTCGCATTTGGAGGTGATCGTTAAGCGGGGGTCCACTGTATATGCTTGTACATGTATGTGTAGTGTGACCTAAGTGTAAGTAGAAGTAGCAAGACGTACCTGAAATCTTGCATGTTCATGAGACAGAAAAAAAAGGACACCAGCAATCCTACCATCATGTAAAAGAATTACAGGCTTTCGTTTTACACTCACTTGGCAGGACGGTAGTACCTCCCTGGGTGGTTGCTGTCTACCAACCTACTACCTAGGTTGTGTACCAGTTATCAGTATACATGTATAATGTATGCCCCTTACAAGATAAGGGGCTATCATGCTTCTCACTATGTCACCTGAGATACCCAATAACATCTTGGTATCTTTCAATGTTTTACATCCTGTGTATACAACAATATCCAATACCAGGCCACTGTCACAGTCACAGAGTACAAACAGTTTTATACCAAAGCGCTTCCTCTTGCTCGGTATATACTGCTTGAACAACAGTCTACCTTTGAACAAAATCAAAGACTCATCAATTACAAGATTCTTGAATGGATAAAAGTACATGTTGAACTTTTGTTTGAGATTTATAAAAATACTTCTAATCTTGTATAACATGTCACTTCTGTCAGGCCTGGTTTTGTCAGAGAAGTGCAACATATGTAACAGTAAGATAAACCTGTTCACTGGGACGATTTCACTGAAGACCGGGGTAGAAATTAGCCAATCTGTGGACCAGTATGCTTTTATGTTATGCTTATAGACATGAGGCATAAGCATTATTGTTGCAAAAAGTGAATACATTTCTGCAACAGTCGTCTCTTTCCACTGGTGTAGTCTTGACTGTGGTGATATGATCGTATTAGCCATGGTGTACTCAAAATACTTGTTACTTTCCCTGACGATAGTTTCCATCAAGGGCTGGTCAAAGAATATTTCAAAGAATTCCAGTTCATTGGCCGTGGTTCCAAGGGGACAAGTAGGTAGAATTCCACTTTGAGAGTCATCAAAGTGGTGAGGCTTGGGAACAAAATTGGGATTTTGCTGCCAATCCCAGATACAGTTTGCTGGTGGATACTGGACATCATAGGCTGGTTGTGCAGGTAGTTGTGGTTGTGGTGGGCTGGTGGCTGATGCTGCGCTTTGTCCTTGAACTGAGGAGTCAGCACCGTGGGTCCCTGCCTGGGCTGGTGAGTCACGCATGACCGTGGCACTACCATCACCACTACCACCACCTACTGATGCCTGTGGTCTATCCATGCCAAGTGTAGCCACATCATCCTCACTTTCACTGTCTATTCCTGGTGTAGGGCCACGGGATGTACTCCGTCCCCTGGGCACTGCATAGGGAACACTACCCGAGCGCATGCGGTGGCATATATACCGACGCTTCACTGGTGAATGTTTCCTCACTATCACTACTCGAATGATCGTCAAGAGCAATAAAATCACAATCCACGTCACTATCATCATCATCATTACTGAAGTCGGAGGCCTGGCCACGCGAAAATAATAGTTTTCTCTTGTGATGAGGTACAACTGACCATGGCTGAGGCGTGCCCACACCAGAGGTAGAAGGTTGAGGATTGTCAGGGTTTTCTGCACTATTATCGATATCCTGGTCATTCCTTTCGGTCACTAACTGATCAAAGCCAAAGAATTCGTCTTCATTTCCACTTCCATCAGAGTCAGAATTATCAGATAGGAAGAGGAGAGTCCCAATTTTCCTTGGAGTGAGAGCTGCCTTGCGACAGGGCATGGTGAACAAAGGTAACTGAGCCGGCATTCCCACAATGCTGTGCGGGCGCCTAGATTTTTTGTTTACGGCGCGCACACACCACACAGACCCATTCTCTCACATGTAGGCCTACCAGCGTTTTCGTGCTAAATTTGACGCTGAAAGAATTTTGGTGTAGATCTACAGTTTGGACCCTGAATGTGAAGCCGTAGATCTACGGGATGGACCCTGAAAGGGTTAAATATACTTTACAAACCACTCTGATTGCATATGCCAGGTGTATATCACACATACAGAATTACTGATAGAAATGGAGAATTGCTAAATAGTGAGTTGACATAAAGCAAACCTGCTTAAAGAGACAGTGAAACCTCTGAATTATATTTATGTAAGGTGCTAGTCCCTTGTGGGCCATTCATTGCAAAGCATAGAGGAGTCAAATGTATGGAATAAGTGTTAAGTTGGTGGAACAGGCAGCCAGCTGACAAGTGGATTAAAATAACATAAAACTGCATAAGCTTTTACAGTGGAACCTCAGTTGCCAACTGCATTGCTCAACAACCAAATAAGTTTTTGAATGAGGAATTCAAGACAAAAATGTCCTGGTTTTCGTATGCTCTCATGGTTGTCAACCCTCAACACGAACGGCTTGGGTCACGTGCTCACTAACTCGCGTACTGTAAACATCTCTTGAGCTTTTGTTGTTCTTCTTGTGAACTTTTCTTGTTATTTTGCAGTTTTGGTGCAGCTTTTTTTTATTGTGAGATACGCTATCGTGGGTCCAAAGAAAGACCATTTCAATATCCTCACCTGCTTGAGGCTTATAGACAAATTCTGGGGGAATGTGTCTTCCAGGACCATGCAATCAGCATGGAAGAAATTGTGGCCTGACTTTGTGGCAGCCAGGGATTTTGAAGGCTTTGAAGATGAGTCTGAACTGGTAGAGGATATTGTGTCCCTAGGGAAGATCTTGGGCATAGAGGTGACTGAAGATGATGTGGAAGTGTTGGTGGAGGTGCATAGAACTGAACTCACCACAGAAGAACTTGTAGACCTTCAGAAGGAGCAGCAACAGATTACAGCGGAGGAGCTGTCATCAGAGAAAGAGGAGGGAAGGGATGACGTACCTGTTGCACTTGTCAAGGAAATGTGTGCTAATTGGTATGACATGCAGGAGTTTGCTGAAAAATACCATCCAGACAAAGCAGTGGCCATCTCTCTCTAAAGTGTAAAATGACTAATGTCTCAATATAGACATGTGTTAAAACAGAGCCTAAAACAAACCTCACTGGACAGTTTTTTAATGAGGCAAAGAACCAGTGAGCCAGAACAAGGTGTTAGTGGTGAAAAGAGACAAAGAAGAGAAACTAACATCAGAAGCACAGTTGCCTGACATATTAATAGAAGGTGACTCTCCTTCCAAGCAGTAACATACCCCAGCATTAACATACCCCAACATTAACATACCCCCTCTTCTCCTCCATCTCCTGCTTCCAGTATGCCATTAGCTCTCCTCTGACAGTTAAATTTTCATTTACTGTACAGTATTTCGGTTAGTTTCTTTTAGTATTTATTTTTACAGTTTTATGTAGTAGTTTGTACATTTTAATAAATTATTGTCATTTGGGATCTGGAATGGATTAATTCTATTTGCATAATTCTTTATGGGAAAAATTGCTTTGGTTGTTGAATGACATCAGGAACGAATTAAGTTTGACAACTGAGGTTCTACTGCATTTTATTTTGATTAAGTAACCCTTGAATGATGCTTTGTTATAAAGGCTTAGGCCATTGTGAGACTTTACAGCCAGGTGTTATGTTGTTAAAAGTTGTATGAGCTTTTATGAAGGTAATGAAGCAGACAGGTAATAGAGAATGGGAATGGTTTCCAGTAACAGCAAGACATGGATAAGAGTGTGAGATGGTTTCCATGCCACCCTGAACTTACACACCCTCTTGGTCATACTGTTGTGCTCAATCCCCTCAAAATACTCAAACCACCTAAATAACCACTCGCCTGTCCTCTGACTCATTCATACCTTTGGTAGCTCCACACACTACTGATTTCTGACCTATAATGCATAATACTTACACCACACATTGCTCTCAAGCATGAGATCACTGTCTTTAGCCTCCTTGCTGCAGTGTTTAAATCCCACTCCTCGCACATGTATAAAAGTGTTTCTATCACTATACTTGTGTACATTCCCCTTCTTGTCATTATAGATGAGCCTCTTTTGACAGATGCCTCAAGAAGGTACTTGGTGCTGTACTAGTTTACTGTGTTGCTTTTCAGATCTATGTGGTATATTCGCCTATTAGCAGAATTAGATTTACTAAAAGACGCGTCAAGATCTGATGAAGAAGATTCTCAGTCTCTTGATGATATCAGCTTCAACTCGTTAGAACAAGTAAGTTATCTGTATGTTTTGGGCCAAATAAGATTTTCATGAAGGTTGAAATACTATTTATTCACTTTTACTCTTTGGGAATGGTATTAGGGACGAAAATGTGTACAAATTTAGTCTCCACGTTTTCTTCTTGAACTAAGAGAGCCTCTCTTTCTGGGCTAATGTAAATTCACTTTTAGGGATAGCACTTGTTCAGGGGCCTTAGAATCAATCCTTGTGGAAAGTCTGTACGAAGTGTCTCATTCCCTTCCTTCATGGGGGGGGGTGTCATTGATGAAGGGCTCTTGACCCAAGGCGCAAGGTTCAACTTATTGTTGCCCTCTGCAAGATTTAATTTTTGAAAAATAAATATTGTAAGATAGTGGAGCAGGAAATAAGTGAAATTAGTGAACAAGACAGCACAAGCAGTCCAGGTAAAATATTTTCTTTACACAGGTTTAGTTAAATTAAGATGTACATATTAGAGAAACAGTGTGTGTATTATTTTTGAAGTTGAAAAGGCACAGTATCAAAGCTGAAGTATGTGGTAAATTTTTGTCTGCAAATAAAATAAAATATTACTTGGGAACACATCTCTGGTTATAACATGGGCATCTATGCAAAAAGAGGCTGCAAGTAGAGAAAATTTTAGCTACATATGATATACAGGAATGCATCTTATTCATTTGTTGGGGTACTTCTGTACAAATATAATATTCTCTCTTTGTGAAATATTCAAGATGCCCATTGTCTTTATTACTTTAATTTGTTTCTTTTGTCTTCATAATTCTTCAATCTATAGATCTATTACATTATACTGTTATTTCAAGTGTTATCCATCTTTCTTGTGTACCTTCACTTTGTGCCTTAAACATTCTTGTAGTCTCTGGTCTGACTTGTCTTTCTGTTCTTACCAACTCTTAGTTCTCCTTCCCATTATACGAAATCCTTATGGTCTAAACAGGCACTTTCTTCCATTCCTGAAGTCACATGGCTGTAGGCCCTTCTTTGCTCTTCCTTGATCATTTTCAGTTTCAGTGACTGGAATATTTTTTCCAGGCAGAAGAAGTTGATGGATCGATCCAAGTATCATTGGGTGGTGGTTTCTCTGGAGATGGTCTTTCTCTTGGATCAAGTCTCTCAGCTCAATCAAATGACAACTATCTTAAAGTGAGGAGATGATATATTAAGGATTGTTAATTTACTATATTTTTTTTTTTTTAACATGCTGGCCATCTCCAACCAAGGCAGGTTGACAAAACAAAGAAAGAAACACTTTTACCATCATTCACACATAATCACTGACTTTGTGTTGACATGATTAACCCTTTCACTGTCTCCCATTTAGATCTGTGTCACTGATACCAGTATCATTTGTATTGATCTGTATTTTAGGAGTAGCTCCCTCAAATATGCTGTGAGTGGCAAATATTGTCCTTGACAGCATAGGCAGAACAAGTTTGTGAAAAAAACAATAGATGTTAGGGTGAAAGTCTTAATGTTGGATCCCCATGGGACTGATTATCATATTTATGCTGACCATCCACAAATCTACAATTGGGTTCTAAACGTAGAAGATGTAAAACTGCTTTATTCCTCTTATGCCAGATATTCAGACAAATAGAAAATTAGAACTCAATGAGGAAATACAGATTGGAGATTTTGATGCCTTTGATTGTGACATTGTCATTTTGCAGCCCGTGGGATCAGTGATGGATCTGGGTGTGTACTTGGATTATTCATAGTCATTTGTTAGACACACAAACCAAATTATTAAGTCTTGCAATTTTCATATTCATTACCTCTTTGCATTCAGAAAATATCTTGATAAGCAGAATATCTGTTTTTATTCTCCTCATTAACCCTTTCAGGGTGCCTTACTAGTACGGCTAGCACACCAGGGTTGGTGCCATACTAGTACGCCTAAATTCTAGCGTCTTCAAATCTAGCGAGAGAAAGCTGGTAGGCCTGCATATGAAAGAATGGGTCTGTGTGGTCAGTGTGCGCAGTATAAAAAAAAGTCCTGCAGCACACAGTGCATAATGAGAAAAAAAACTCCAACCGTGTTTTTGGTTTAAAACAGCGAGTTTGCAGTGTATTTTCGTATGCTATTTATGGTTGTATTCTAGTTTTCCTGGTCTCATTTTATAGAATGGAAGACATATTACAGAAATTGAGATGATTTTAATTGGTTTCACAATGAAAAGTACCTTGAAATTGAGCTCAAAGTAGCAGAAATGTTCAATTTTTGCTAAAGTTCAAAAGTAAACAAATCATGCCATACGTCCAATACACGTCAACTGGTAAGTCTGATATTCTTTCACAAGTGTGCTTATATTATTTATGCTATTTCTACACTAATGCAGTAGTCTGCATAACAGTAAATCTTCTATTTTTTGTGAGAATAAAAATTCAAAGTGGAAAGCAGAAGAAATATAACAGAGGCCTGGGGACATGACTAAGGAACAGATGAAATGTATTTTAGTGCCAGGAATGTCTGTCTTGTTTATTCTGGACCCTATTTGGAAATTGGCATCTTTTGAAATTTGTGTGAAATTGGCAAAATTGCCAATTTCTGACCACTTTATTGGATAGTTGAAATAGGTAAATGGATGGCTTCTTGTACTCAATCGATAGAAAAAATGGAGTTCTAGTGAAATAGTTATGACTTTTGTCGACTGGTACATTGGAATTGGCCGAAAATAGGGCTCAAAGTGGGTGAAATCGCCGATGCATAAACATCGTCGAGACCGCTAACTTCGTGAGAGCATCATTCCGTAAGTTTTCCATGAAATTTCATACTTTTTGTGTCATTATGATCGTGAAAAAATTATCATTTCATGAGAATTCCCCCCCCCCCCCCCCCCCCCCCCCCGAAAAATTTCCAACCCTGAGAACAAGTTTAGGAGAGGGCCTGCTGACCCTGAAAGGGTTAATTTTACATCACCAAGCAGGGATGTAACTGACTCAATCCTGTCTGGTATGCTTTTCATGTAAACCAGAAACAATACTGGTCCTAGTACTGATCCTTGAAGAGCCACATTTATTACTTCTCCCCATTTTGAAGATAGAAATACACGTGTCCCTTATTTTATGCTGTAAATGTGTTCCTGGCTCATGGTATCTGTACAAAGCTCAGTAAGGCCATAGACACTTTATTATGCAATAATAATAATCACTATGCTTAGCAAACCATGCTGATTGCACATCGTGACCATGAATTGCATGTACAGAATTACCAAAAATAAGACTTGCATAATAAAAATTCACATAAAGTGAATCTTCATAAAGACTTAGAAACCTGTATAGCATGTTATCAAGGGGCACTGCTATATGAATGTGCAGCTGAATGTTCCATACAAGTTTAGTACTTCTCTTTTAAATATAATGATAATTGTAGTGTGACTGTAGCCCCCAAATAAGAAAAAAACTAGTGATGCCATTGGTGACCACAAACACATAAAGTGCCTTGGTACTGTTCATTTTTTCATTATGGAATAGTTTACATGCAACTTTGTATGCATTTAATTAAATTTGCCTTTTAAATACAATATGCATTTTCATGTATAGGTTTTCCTACGCATTTCAGAGTGTTTCCCGAGGGTCATCTCGAGCACAATCACCACAGCCAGGAGGATCGCTGCATCCATCCCCATGTCACACTCGCTCTCCCAGTCTAACATCAAAATCTTATAATCTAACTGCAAAGATCATTGACACAGGTGATCATTATTATATTTTAAATAAGTATAAAAGAATTGATAATTAAAAAGTTTTGTTTGTAATATTACCAATTGATTTTGGAAAAAAATTCATCTTTCAGTATTTACCTTTTAATCATTCCCAGAGCTGTGGAACTGTAAAATGAATTAAGCCCAGCTCACATCATAAGGTTATCAAGTGGTTAATGGTTATAACTAAAATGACGTGCTTAAATTTAAAGAAGGTAGATGGTAATGTGAGCGGGATAAAAAGTACATATGAAAGCATTAGCAACTTGTTGAAAAAAATTTTGGAGGGTGAGATGGGTAAATTGTTAGTGAATTGATCCAGAGCCTCTCACTTACTTGATTTTGACTCATTATCCACTTCTTAATCATTATCTACTTTTAAATGTCGACAAAGTAAGGGAGGTGGTAATTTCATGCACTGGCCAGGGAGGTATACCATCTTTTAGGAGTGAAGAAGAGCAGGATGTAAGTGTGGGGGAGGTGCGTGAAGCATTACGTAGAATGAAAGGGGGTAAAGCAGCTGGAACTGACGGGATCATGACAGAAATGATAAAAGCATTGGGGGATATAGTATTGAAGTGGTTGGTATTTTTGTTTAATAAATGTATGAAAGAGGGGAAGGTACCTAAGGATTGGCAGAGTGCATGTATAGTCCCTTTATATAAAGGGAAGGGGGACGAAAGAGATTGTAAAAATTATAAAGGAATTAGTTTACTGAATATACCAGGAAAAGTGTACGGTAGGGTTATTATTGAAAGAATTAGAGGTAAGACAGAATGTAGGATTGCGGATGAGCAAGGAGGTTTTAGAGTGGGTAGAGGATGTGTAGATCTGGTATTTACATTGAAGCATATATGTGAACAGTATTTAGATAAAGGTAGGGAAGTTTTTATTGCATTTATGGATTTAGAAAAGGCATAAGATAGAGTGGATAGGGGAGCAATGTGGCAGATGTTGCAAGTACAGTGGACCCCCGCCTAACAAACGCATCGCATAATGTTAATTCTGCCATACGAAGCATTTGAACGCAAAAATTTTGCCTCGCCTCACGATAAAAAACTCGCTCAGCGCGATTCCTCCCAAACCTGCCTGTCCAGCCTGAGCGCCTCAGCTGCCCTGCCGTCATTGTTCACAAGCCAGGGTGGCTGGTTGCATGCAGACATTCGATACATTTTGTATTATATTCCATTGTTTATAGTGCTTGTAACTGGTAAATAAGCCACCAAGGGCCCAAAGAAAGCTTCTAGTGCCAACCCTGTGGTAAAAAGGGTGAGAAATACTATCGAAATACTATCGTACCACGGTCAGCTGCTGCTGCACCACCATCAGCTATTGCTGGACCAGTCAGCTGTTGCTGCACCATGGTCAGCTGTTGCTGCACCACCGTCAGCTGTTGCTGCGCCACAGTCAGCTGCTGCTGCACCACCGTCAGCTGCTGCTGCACCACAGTCAGCTGCTGCTGCTGCTGCTGCACCACAGTCAGCTGCTGCTGCTGCTGCTGCACCACAGTCAGCTGCTGCTGCTGCACCACAGTCAGCTGCTGCTGCACCACAGTCAGCTGCTGCTGCACCACAGTCAGCTGCTGCTGCACCACAGTCAGCTGCTGCTGCTGCACCACCATCAGCTGTTGCTCTACCACCATCAGCTGTTGCTCCACCACCATCAGCTGTACTGTAGATGAATGGTTCAGATGGACTGACCACATCGACTCAAGGTTGAGGGACTGATTACCTCATTCTCCTCCTGTTCTTCAAGTTTCTCCTTTGTATGGACTGATGAAGCCACTGTGTTATGAAACATTTCCTCAATAAAGATATCAGCTGTACTACTCGAACATGTGGAGTGTGTGTTGTTGGTGTGGCTTAACGGGAAACAATTACCGAGAAACAATTAACCCCAGATGGTTAGCCACCCAGGATAACCCAAGAAAGCCAGTGCATCATCGAGGACTGTCTAACTTATTTCCATTGGGGTCCTTAATCTTGTCCCCCAGGATGCGACCCACAACAGTCAACTAACACTCAGGTGAACAGGTAAAAATGCCTGGAACTAGTGCTCATATTGGTGAATTTAAGGTCAGCAAAGGTTGGCTTGAGAGATTTAAGAATTGTAGTGGCATACACAGGGTGATAAGGCATGGTGAAGCTGAAAAATTCCAACCCCAACAAGTGTTCAATTGTAACGAAACAGGCCTGTTCTGGAATAAAATGCCAAACAGGTCATACATTACTCAGGAGGAAAAGGCACTCCCAGGACACAAGCCTGTGAAAGACAGGCTAACTCTAATGTTTTGTTGTAATGCTAGTGGGGATTGTATCACTCTGAAAATCCCAGAGTGTTCAAGAAAACCAGTGTCTCATCACTCATCAATACTCTTCAATAAAGGTAAGTGTCATTTTAACATTTATTTATGTAGTTGCTGTGCATGTCTCATTCTTTTCTTTGTAGGGAAATGTATATTTCATGAAAAAAAACAAAATTAATACTTTTGGCTGTCTGGAACGGATTAATTGGATTTCCATTACGTATTTCTTATGGGGAAAATTAATTCGGCTAACGATAATTTCGGCTAACGATGAGCTCTCAGGAACGGATTAATGTCGTTAGCGAGGGTCCACTGTATATGGAATAGGTGGTAAGATACTAAATGCCCTAAAGAGATTTTACGAGGACAGTGAAGCTCAGATTAGGGTGTGTAGAAGAGAGGGAGACTACTTCCTGGTAAAAGTAGGTCTTAGACAGGGATGTGTAAGGTCAGCATGGTTGTTTAATATATTTATAGATGGGGTTGTAAAAGAAGTAAATGCTAGGGTGTTAGGGAGAGGGGTGGGATTAAATTATGGGGAATCAAATACAAAATGGGAAGTGACAGTTACTTTTTGCTGATAACACTGTGCTTATGGGAGATTCTAAAGAAAAACTGCAGAGGTTAGTGGACGAATTTGGGAGTGTATGTAAAGGTAGAAAGTTGAAAGTGAACATAGAAAAGAGTAAGGTGATGAGGGTATCAAATGATTTAGATAAAGAAAAATTGGATATCAAATTGGGGAGGAGGAGTAAGGAAGAAGTGAATGTTTTCAAATAACTGGGAGTTGACATATCAGCGGATGGATTTTTGAAGGATGAGGTTAATCATAGAATTGATGAGGGGGAAAAAGGTGAGTGGTGCATTGAGGTATATGTGGAGACAAAGAATGTTATCTATGGAGGCAAAAAAGGGAATGTATGAAAGTATAGTGGTACCAACACTCTTAGATGGGTGTGAAGCTTGGGTTGTAAATGCTGCAGCGAGGAGGCGGTTGGAGGCAGTGGAAATATCCTGTCTAAGGGCAATGTGTGGTGTAAATATTATGCAGAAAATTCGGAGTGTGGAAATTAGGAGAAGGTGTGGAGTTAATAAAAGTATTAGTCAGAGGGCTGAAGAGAGGTTGTTGAGGTGGTTTGGTCATTTAGAGAGAATGGATCAAAGTAGAATGACATGGAGAGCGTATAAATCTGTAGGGAAAGGAAGGTGGGGTAGGGGTCATCCTCGAAAGGGTTGGAGGGAGGGGGTAAAGAAGGTTTTGTGGGAGAGGGGCTTGGACTTTCAGCAAGCGTACGTGAGCGTGTTAGATAGGAGTGAATGGAGACGAATGGTATTTGGGACCTGACGAGCTGTTGGAGTGTGAGCAGGGTAATATTTAGTGAAGGGATTCAGGGAAACCAGTTATTTTATATAGCCAGACTTGAGTCCTGGAAATGGGAAGTACAATGCCTGCACTTTAAACGAGGGGTTTGGGATATTTCCAGTTTAGAGGGATGTGTTGTGTATTCTTTATATGTATGTACTTCTAAACTGTTGTATTCTGAGCACCTCTGCAAAAACAGTGATTATGTGTGAGTGAGGTGAAAGTGTTGAAAGATGATGAAAGCATTTTCTTTTTGGGGATTTTCTTTCTTTTTGGGTCACCCTACCTCGGTGGGAGATGGCCGACTTGTTAAAAAAAAAAAATCCACTTCTTGGCTACTGTAGGAAGGATAAAACACACACACACACACACACACACACACACACACACACACACACACACACACACTCTCACACACACACACACACACTCTCTCTCTCTCTCTCTCTCTCTCTCTCTCTCTCTCTCTCTCTCTCTCTCTATCTCCTCTCTCTCTCTATCTCTCTCTCTCTCTCTCTCTCTCTCTCTCTCTCTCCTCTCTCTCTCTCTCTCTCTCTCTCTCTCTCTCTCTCTCTCTCTCTCTCTCTCTCTCTCTCTCTCTCTCACACACTCTCACACTCTCTCTCTCTCACACTCTCACACTCTCTCTCTCTCACACTCTCTCTCTCTCACACTCTCACACTCTCTCTCTCTCACACTCTCACACTCTCACACTCTCACACTCGCGCACGCGCGTGGGTCCGTGGGGTGCAGACGTGGATGCACAAGGCTCCGAGAACCCTAGTGTTTTTTAAGGCGTGCAGTAAATGCTAGCAGTAATCAGTGGTAGTGACATCGTCAGTGAACAATAATACGAGTGATAACTAAAGTTATTAGTTAAAAATAGTCGAGAGGAAGCTGAAATTATCAATATTTCAAGCGCCAAGCCGTTGTGGGTCTATAGGCGCTGTTGCCACACAGATTCAAACATACAAAGATCAAAGTGAGTGTGGAAGCAGCTGTTCAAGAATTATCAGCATTTGGCTAGCAAGTGAAATGTGGGGCACCATACAGTGAGAGTGAAAAAGTTAATAAGCAAAAGGGGAAAGGAAAAATAAAATATATAACAAGGGAAGGTGGCAGCAGTAGGCCTGCTTAAGCAGTGACGTCACGACAAGTTGTGTGCCATTATACATATAAAGTGAAGTGCATATAATGTGAAGTGTTTACTATCATAAGTGAAAAGTGAAATCGCGTGAGGAACGAGGGATGTATGAGCACATGTGGCTATAATCAACACGGGTGAAGGATCTCCAAAATAGGGATTTAAGGACTACGTACGAT